AAACTTGCAAAATACTGCCTCCAGTCTACATAATCTCCCACCGTTTCACGGACGAAAACCTGGATATGTGGCCAAGTAGTGCCAGTGTAAGTCAAAGTGGCAAAAGTTATTAATGAGGAAGAACATACAAGCTAAGATGCTGCTGCAGTTTGATTTTGCCAGAGCTTACTGGGAAGGGCAAGATTTTGCCCCATCTCTCTTCATCCTTCCACCCCACACTGAGTTAACTTAGAGCAAACAACTTTTGAACCCAGTTTGCAGCAAATACAAAGAGGGAAAGTGGAAGGAAAAAGAAACTGGGACATTTTAAAAGAAACTGAAAAAGTGGGCCGACAGAGGATTAATCAGGAATGCCCCTGCCAAATTGGGACAGGTGGAGGGTAAAAGACTGTTATGGCCTGAGACAAGATCATTCTAGTTCAGAGCTGCACTGGTTGCTGGTCCATGAATGGGCTCAATTCACATTGCTGATGGATATCTCTTATACATTTAAAATCTAGGCCACTGCAGCGGAGCTGAGAAATGTTACTTTTTTGGACTGCAATGCCCATAATCTTACAGCCAGCATAGTCATGATGGTGGCCATTGACTAAATTGGCTGGAGGAATTTGGGAGTTATAAAACAAAGAATCATAAACTCAGAAGGGGCATGCAGTCCAACCCCATGCCATGCAGGAACTCACAATCAAAGGAGCCCCAACAGATGGCCATCCACAGCCTCTACTTAATAGCATCCAAAGAAGGAGACTCCACCACACTCGGAGGCAGCATCTTCCACTGTCAAACAGCTCTTATCCTCAGGAAGGTCTTCTTAATGTTTAGGTGGGATCTCTTTTCTTAAAGCGTGAACCCATTGCTCCGTGTCCTAGTCTCTGGAGCTTCAGAAAACAAGCTTGCTCCAGTCTCAATATAACATCCACAGTTGTAAAATGCCGGTCCTGCAGCCACAACATTGTGAGTTCAATCCCAGAGGGCTCCAAGGTTGACTCAGCCTTCCATCCTTTTGTAGGGCAGTAAAATGAGTCTCTGGCTTGTAAACCACTTAGAGAGTGCTGAGTTCACTATTAAGTGGTATGGAAACGTAAATGCTATTGCTATTGCTAAATATTTAAAAAGGTCTATCATATCCTTTTTGAACTGTCTCTTCTCCAGGCTAAACATACCCAGATCTCTAAGTCATTCCTCATAAGGCATAATTTCCAGACCCTTCACCATTTTGGTTGCCCTCCTCTGAACACGCTCCAGTTTTTCAACATCCTTTTTGAATTGCGGTGCCCAGAATTGGGCACAGGATTATTCCAGGTGAGGCCTGACCAAAGAAGAATACAGTGGCACTGTTACTTCCCTTGATCTAGATACTATACATGTATTGATGAAGCCTAAAATTGCATTGGCCTTTGTGGCTGCCGCATCACTGTTGACTCATGTTCAACTTGTGGTCTACTAGCACTCCTAGATCCCATTCACATGTATAAGTCTCCTTAAGCCAGGTGTTCCCCCATCTTATATCTATGCATTTCATTTTTTGTCCTAAGTGCAATACCTTACACTTCTCTGTGTTGAAATTCATTTTGTTAGCTTTAATCCAGCTTTCTAATCTATTAAACATACCCAGATCTCTAAGTCATTCCTCATAAGGCATAGTTTCCAGACGCTTCACCATTTTGGTTGCCTTCCTCTGGACATGCTCCAGCGTCTCAATATCCTTTTTGAATTGTGGTGCCCAGAACTGGACACAGTATTCCAGGTGAGGTCCAACCAAAGCAGAAAATACTCAAAGGAACCTCTCCAAAGTTTGAACTTAATGGCTTCCTTAATGCCTACTTGTATTTTTTCCTCAACGTTCAAGGACTTGCTTAGTTTAGCTCCGCCAAACAACTTACCTCCCAAAAATACAAACCCACTCTGTCCTGCCATTATACTCTATATATGTATGGGATCAGCCATTGCAAACAAACTGGCTAATGGCCAGTTTGCAAACAAACTGACCATTAGCCAGTTTGTTTGCAATGGCTGGTCCCATACATATTACTCATATGGAAAAATGTAATGTATGTATGCCACAAATATAGGTAGTTATGCAAGACATACGAGGGGGATCGGGAATCAGGATAGGCTGGGGCTCCTTGAACATGTAAAAGTGAATATGCATGTGTGGAGCAACGCATACGGACAAGTCTGAAAGCTTGAAGCTTGTAGATTTTGATGCATCAATATAGTTGGACAACTCTACTATGAAATTCCATCAATGAGCAAACAAACAGAAGTGGAATATAATTCCCTCCAGATGTTAAATCCAGTCCCCTGGCATCATCAATGTGCTGAATCGTGATTGCACTTTTCACCCTCCTATGCATATTCATGTTTATTGCAATGAAATGCACCAAATAAACAGACTGTTGGATATCTAGGTTTATTCGGGTCATCTGTCAACTTGTCTAGCTCTGCAGATCATTTTAAATCTCATGCATATTCATCACCAGACGGACCTGGGTGAACTGAGAGGTGAGCAGCTAACGGCATATTTGCAATGGGATATTTTGTACTGTGTGTTCAGTCAGTCAACCTTCCATTTTTAAATATTTAGGTTCAATGATTTAAAAAAAACAACAACAATAAACCTCTGGCAGCTTTCCCCCCTCCCTCGGAAAAAGGGGGAAAGAAATAGGATAAATAAAATAGGGAGGTAACATTTATATAGTCCCTGGCTGAGAATGCTAAATGCCCCTCCGTAAACTGCAAGTCCTACAATTTCATGGGGTGATGGAACCATGACAGTTAAACTGGAATAATAGAGCCACAATTATATAGTGTGAAATGGCCCCAGAAAACTATCCTGAGTCACTTGGGCATCTCTTGTTAAGACCAATTCAGAGGTCAAGGTTTTCTACGCAGTTGGGATTTGGGGGGAAATGATAGAAAAGGATGTAGTAGTTTGAGTGCTGAACTAGGACTCCAGGAGACCAGGGTTCAAATCCCCACTCAGTCATGGAAACCCACTGTCTGACCTTGGGAAAGTCACACTCTCTCAGCCTCTGAGGAAGGCAATGGCAAACTCCCTCTGAACAAATCCTGCTGAGGAAACCCTGGGATAGATTTGCTTCAGGGCCCCCATAAGTCAGAAACGACTTGAAGGTATGCAACAACAACAATTGTGTGTTAGAGCATCCTGCACCAACCTGGTGCCCTCCAGATGTGTGGGTCCACAACTCCCAGCATCCTGTCGCTTCCACAACTGAAGGGAACCCTTTGGAGAACACTGGTTTCTAGCCTAGCCATAACAGTTCTCCATGCACAGTACGTATCTCAAAAGCAAATTCCACAATGAGATAAGATTTCATCTCTAAGGAAAAATAAACACAACACTCCGATTATATTTTTAGCTCCGTCCTGATTATGAAAGGGAAAAGGAAACCCCCGTTTTCGGAGCAGCATCATTAAAAGACAATGCACAGCTAAGGAATTTCTCCACGCTTTAACTAGGGACAATAATTCTTTTTTTGCCATGGCAATAAATCCTGAATGCCACTGCATGCAACCTCTGATCTAACCCCCAAATGGTTAACAAACAATGATCTGATTGCAAAATGTGGTATGCCCGGAATGCATTAGCCTTAGTGTCCAATTTTTATTATTTATCCTCCAGAAGGCAGCTAGTAGAATAAAAACACATCAAACGAAAGCACCATGGCATATATGTTAACATGAAAGGAGATCAGAACTGGTCAGAAGAATCAATAAAACAGTAAAAAGAGAGGCAATTTCAAAATGTACTAAAATCAAACACCACTAAGAGTTGACCATACTGGGTCAGATGGATCAAGGGTCTAATTCCTTGCAATTCATTGATGGAGAATTGTTCTGCAGATCCCATGGACTGATAAAAAGATTCTTTTAAAAAATGGATCCTGGCACAAATCAGACCTAAACTCTCCCAAGAAGCCAAAATGATGAAACCAAGGCTGTTTGGACATGGCATGTTATGAAGGGAAGTAATAGTGCCACTGTATTCTGCTTTGATCTGGCCTCACCTGGAATAAATACTGTGTCCAGTTCTGGGCACCACAATTCAAAAATGATGTTGAGAAACTGGAGCGTGTCCAAAGGAGGGCAACTAAAATGGTGAAGGGTCTGGAAACCATGAAGCCCTATGAGGAACGACTTAGGGAGCTGGGAATGTTTAGCCTGGAGAAGAGAAGGTTAAGAGGTGATATGATAGCCATGTTTACATATTTGAAAGGATGTCATATTGAGGAGGGAACAAGCTTGTTTTTTGCTGCTCCAGAGAACAGGACCCAGAGCAATGGATCCAAATGAATGGAAAAGAGATTCCACCTAAATATTAGGAAGAATTTCCTGACAGTAAGAGCTGTTTAACCGCAGAAGATGCTGCCTCGGAGGGTGGTGGAGTCTCCTTCTTTGGAGGACTTTAAACAGAAGCTGGATGGCCATCTGTCGGTGATGCTTTGATTGTGAGTTCCTGCATGGCAGAATGGGATTGGACTGGATGGCCCTTGGGGTCTCTTCCAACTCTATGATTCTATGATAAGACATGACTCAGTAGAAGGGATAATAATGCTTGGTATGGTAGGAGGCAATAGGAAAAGAGAAAGACTACATTCCAGATGCATTGACTCAGACAAGGAAGCCACAGCTTTAGTTTTTTGTGGGTTTTTCGGGCTGTGTGGCCATGTTCTAGAAGAGTTTCTTTCTGACGTTTCGCCAGCATCTGTGGCTGGCATCTTCAGAGAAAAATCACAGATGCTGGCGAAACGTCAGAAAGAAACTCTTCTAGAACATGGCCACACAGCCCGAAAAACCCACAAAAAACTATGGATGCCGGCCATGAAAGCCTACGACTTCACAAGCCACAGCTTCTTAGGAGGGGGTCAAATTTTGTCATCCTTCCGTCAAATGTTTGAGGGAGCTGGATTTACATATTGGTCAAAATGGCCCAGGAAGAGCTAAAGACATGCCAAATTGCTGGGGACACTATTAGAGCCTGCATGGCACAGTGGTTTTGAGCGTTGGACAATGACTCTGGAGACCAGGGTTTGATTCCCTGCTCAACCATGAAACCCACTAGGTGACCTTGGTCAAGTCACACTCTCTCAGCCTCAGGAGAAGGCACTGGCAAACCATCTCTGATGGGTCGGCATTAGTCGGAAATGACTTGAAGGCACTTTCAACAACAAAAACTACTACTACAATTATAGCTGGCCTTCATATCCACAGATTGTTTTATCCATGGAGTCAAGCATCCACAGCTTGAAAATATTCAAAAATATATATACATTCCAAAAAGCAAACCTTGTTTTTTCTGTTTTATATTAGGGACACCATTGTACTATGCCACTGTATCTAATGGGACTTGAGCATCCATGGATTTTGGTATCCGCAGAGGTCCTGGAACCAAACCCCAGCAGATACCGAGGGCTCACTGTATTAAGGAAAATATTTTTTAAAAAATGAGAAAAAAGGTTTCTTTGGGGGGATGGGGGTGGAATACTAGGCAGTGCCCCTGGGAACCTCAAAAACAACCTCAGGCTGCAATTTGTTCACCTCTGCTGTTGACTAATGTTATTTTGCCAAAGAGCTGGTTTGCCTCATCCAGGATATCTCTATGAGGGCCAACTAGGAGGGATGCAGGTGCCTGAAGAAAGGAAGAAATAGCATAAGAACAGGAAAAACAACAGCCAAAGAGAAAATGTCCACACAGGATCCACGAGCCAAAAATGTTAATGGACAATCGACAAGTGTGAAATTTTCCTGGTGGGATCATCACGGCCAACTGGAGATAAACAACACCCAACAATGGGATACTGACGTAATTCACTGTCCTGCCAAAACGTCTTCGGAACACATATCAATACAAATGAAAGCAATGCATCTGAGCTGGTGTGCATGCGCATGTGTGTGAAAACCTCCTCATTATGAAGGGCAGAACAACAACTTGTGCTCCAGACAGTCTGTATTGTATTGTCTCAAATCTCATCCAAGTGAGGCAAGGTTTGGTCAGTTCTCCATTTCTTCTTTCCTTTGCTCACATGTGCATGCTATGGGAAAACAACCTAGTCAGCCCTCCACATTTGCGGTTTTGACTTTTACGGATTTGATTAATATGTTTTCTCTAGGAATTTATAGGTTCGCCAGTGTGACTTTATGGTCAACATCCATCAGAAGTCACACTGGAGGACCTAGAGATTCCTAGAAAGAATACTTCTCTAGGCATTTGTAGGTCCTCCAGTGCAATTCTATTGCACCTAGAAATGCCTAGAGAAGTGTTCTTTCTGCCAGATGGTAGCCAGAGTTAGAATCATACAATCATAAAGTTGGAAGAGACACCAAGGACCATCCAGTCCAAACCCTGGCCATGCAGGAACTCACAATCCAAGCACTCCCATTGACAGATGGCCACCCAGCCTCTGTTTAAAGACTTCCAAAGAAGGAGACCCCACAACCCTCCAGAGGAGTGTGCTCCGCTGTCAAACAGCTCTTAGTGTCAGGAAGTTCCTCCTAACGTTGAGGTGGGATCTCTTTTCCCGTAGCTTGAATCCCTTCTCAATATCACATCCCTTCAAATATTTAAAGAGGGCTATCATATCACCTCTTAACATCTCTTCTCCAGGCTAAACATACTCAGTTCCCTAAGTCTCTCCTCATAAGGCATTATGGTTTACAGCCCCTTCACCATTTTAGTTGCCTTCCTCTGGACATGCTCCAGCTTCTCAACATCCTTTGTGTTGTGCTGGAAGACCTAGAGATCCCTAGACAGGTGTCCTCTCAGGTAAAAAACAACAACCACCCATTTTTTTTAATTTGAGGTGTTCCCACTTTCACAGGGGCTTTGTGCCTTAGGGGGACCCCAGCAAATATGGAGGGTCCCCTGTATTTTCCAACAAGGCAAGGCAACAAATGAACTCCCCTCTTTATGGAGCAAGGTCTATACTTATGGAACATGGTGTAGTGGTTTGAGCATTGGACTACAACTCTGCAGATCAAGGTTCAACTCCACAATTGGCCATGGAAACCCACTGGATGACCTTGCGCAAGTCTCAAACTCTCAGCCCCAGAAAATGCTGTGATAGGCTCGCCTTTGTAATAAGAACCTGACCTTGGGGAATTTATAATTAGCTCAAAAATAA